CCAGGTGATGACATCATTGCCATTGTGCAAGCACAGCGCTGCAGCAAGAATCTGGTCATCCTGTGGCACATACAGTTCTCCCTGTTCCACCCCAATCAAGCATCCCCTGCCAGAGGCAGCTGCTTCACTCTGCTTTGTGGCAGAACTGGCCCCGAGTAGTATATGATGAGCAGGTTGGGTTTTTCCTAATGTGTGTCCTTGCAAACAAGCTGACATTGGGAGCCCTTTATTTAGCTGGAAGGAGTCTTGTGTAAGTACCGGATGGCTTGAAGAGCGACCCTTGGAGAGGAAATCGTCTCCCTCTCCATCCTCCAAGTCCTTCCTGTTTCTGCTTGGTTTATTACCTGTCACAACACCTGATCTTCAAATCATCTCTAGTACCTTCCGTGCAACTCTCGCTTTCAACGTTCAAAGAACTCCTTGAATAGGCACCCTTGATCTTGCCAATTTTTTCCCTCCAGGAGCAGCTCCAATTCAGCTCCATTTAATAACACTTCACATGTATATATGGGCATATTTCCTCTTCAAAGGGCCTCTGTATAAACACTGATTAATGTTCACAACACCCCATTTGTGGAAAGTAGGACCTGTTGGCTGAGCGATAAGGACACTTAACAACATCGCCAAAGGATGGAGAGGTATATTGTGTCAGCGTGTTCTTAAGTCTTTCCCTTCATGTTTTCAGAGGTTCACCAGCAGTCCACAGACTAAAAAATAAGGTACCTGCCTGGCCAGGAATGTTAAAGGTTGACATCTGAAGAAAAAAAAAGCAAGATCAATAACATGGCATTATAATTTTGTCTTTAATTTCCAACACTTTCCTGTGATCTTTGTCAAGGAGACTTCTTGAGCACTCATTTGGATCCAAAGCTACAGGTCCTTCTGATGTACAGTATGAAGGGCTGTGACTCTGCATGCTTAATTTTTAATTATTTCTTTAATTTGAAATTTTTGAAAGCATCACCCTCCACCTAAATGGGATATATATAGAACAGATTATAAAGTAAAGCCATTGGAAGCACCAAATCAAGGGTGGATGAAAGGAAGCCTTCCTTATGTTGTTGTATGAAAACTCACATCAGCCTCAGCCAGTGCAGCTATTGAGGAATGCTCAGAGCTTGTAGTCCAACCTAGGTGGGCACATTTCCCCCTTTCCCATAGTAAAATGAACCAAAAATAACTCAAGCTACAAACTAGAAGCAACCACACAAAATACAAAACAGCAGTTGAGCACATGATTTTGTTGTTGTTTAGTTGTTAAGTCATGTCCAACTGTTTGTGACCCCATGGAGCAGAGCATGCCAGGCCCTCCTGTCTTCCACTGCCTCCCGGAGTTGGGTCAAATTCACTTTGGTAGCTTCAATGACCCTGTCCATCCATCTCATCCTCTGTCGTCCCCTTCTCCTCTTGCCTTCACACTTTCCCAACATCAGGGTTTTTTCCAGGGAGTCTTCTCTGCTCATGAGACGCCCAAAGTATTGGAGCCTCAGCTTCAGGATCTGTCCATCCAGTGAGCACTCAGGGTTGATTTCCTTCAGAATTCAGTGGTTTCTTCTCCTTGCAATCTGGGGGACTCTCAAGAGTCTCCTCCAGCACCACAATTCACAAGCATCAATTCTTTGGTGGTCAGCCTTCTTTGTAGTCCAGCTCTCACTTCCATACATCGCTACTGGAAAAACCATAGCTTTGACTATGCAGACCTTTGTCAGCAAGGTGATGTCTCTGCTTTTTAAGATGCTGTCTAGGTTTCGCATTGCTTTCCTCCCAAGAAATAGGCATCTTTTAATTTCATGGCTGCTTTCCCCCGCTGCAGTGATCATGGAGCCCAAGAAGGTAAAATCTGTCCCTGGCTCCATATCTTCCCCTTCTGTTTCCCAGGAGGTGATGGGACCAGTGGCCATGATCTTAGTTTTTTTGATGTTGAGATTCAGACCATTTTTTTGCACTCTCCTCTTTCACCCTCATTAAGAGGTTCTTTAATTCCTCCTCACTTTCTGCCATCAGAGTGGCATCATCTGCATATCAGAGGCTGTTGATATTTCTTCTGGCAGTCTTAATTCCGGCTTGGGATTCATCCAGTCCTGCCTTTCGCATGACCACCTCCAGTAAACATGAGCTTTGTCTGCAACTTGACTGCTCAGGCATAGCTAAGCTCAGAGTCAATTGTACCACAGAGACACCAACATGCATTTAGCTTCTAATGCCATTTGTAGGATCTAGTTTAACCCTAAGTCTCACTTTACACAGTGGAAGAACATGAAACGGGACTCCTCTTGATGGCTGCAATGTGTGGACAACCTCACGCTGAGAGAGGCAACCTTTGAAATATCTAAGTCCTTGCCTTCTTAAGGCTAGGACAGTAACACTTGCTTAGTAGTTTCACTTCTGGTTGCTGGACATACTTCGACATTCATGTAAACCAGTTCTGCCTTTTTGTATCTAGGGTCCTTCTTCAGGCATAAACCACTTCTTGAAAGAAATGCTTTCGTGTTACTCACTGCAGTGTTGGAAAAAAAACAAACTTGTTACATTAGGTTTTGGACTGCTAGTTCCTTCCAAATTATGTCCCATTCCTTTTTTTAAAAAGAAAGAAAATCTTCAGATTGATCAGGGAATATACCACAATGTAAAAGGACCTGTTAAAGTACCTCTTAAAATATCAGAAAAGAGCCATCAAAACTAATTTTTAAAAAGCAAATAGAAACCATCATTCATAATATGACCGAAGTGACAGTATTGCTCCTTGCAATATCTTTGGAATGTTATGATATTACATTTTCTTTATGTCCCAAACAACTATTTACAGGTATCTACAGTGCTTGCTTTGAAGCTGTAAGTTTTTAATACACAATATATCAGGGTAAATGGGGAGATCCTGAGGACTAATTTTAACACACGCCCCCGGATACCACAGAGCATCCTTCAGTCCTTCATTGGATGTCAACTTTCAGCAACATGGTAGCAACTGTACATTTTTAAAAAAACCCATAAAGCAAGGCATGCTGGGATAATGGTTATTCATTTGGAAGACTCCTCCATGCCTCAGAGAATTCTGGGAGCACAATTACCTTCTAAAACACCTTCTAAATATATACCTTCTAAAAATAGTGACAGTACTGATGGGCGACAGGGTTGAACGACTGATGGGTCAAGGACCAATATACTGTGTGTGTGTGTGTATATATATATCACACACATGTATATATATATATACACATAGGTCCTTGACCCATCAGTTGCTCAACTCTGTCTACATTTGTAGGTGACAGAACTGATGCTGCAACCCATTTTATGTGAGGCTGAAATACAGTATTGAGCTCCAAGTGACCTGCTGAATAACAGTGCTACAGTTCCAGAGGTGGGCAAATAATAGATCTGGGTCTATTCTTTTTTTTAAAGAAAGCAGAGTTTGGTAAGCTTGAGTAATTACATGATTAAGTGTCCCATTTCCTCTGACAATGTGCCTCAGGAAATAAATCTCTGTTCAGCCACACATACAAGAAAAGGTTTAGACCAGTGGTTCTCAAATTTGGGTTTCCAGATGTTCTTCGACAAAAGCTCCCAGAAGCCTTCATCCCTAGCAATGCTGGCCAGGATTTCTGGGAGATGCAGTTCAAGAATACAGTGGTGCCTCACTTTACGATTGTCCCGCATTATGATGAATCTGCTTAACGACAGTCTTTTTGCAAACACAATTTGGATCACAAAACGGTGGTCTGAATGGTTTTTTTCACTTTGTGATGATCGGTTCCCTGCTTTGGGAACCGATTCTTCACAAAACAACGATTTTCCTCCAGTTGATCAGCGGTTTCAAAATAGCCACCGGGTAAATAAAATGGCTCCCCGCTGTTTTCTGGGACGGATTCCTTGCAAGACAGCCACCAAAAATGGCCGCCCTATGGAGGATCTTCACTGGACGGTGAGTTTCCAGCCCATTGGAATGCATTGAAGGGGGTTCAATGTGTTTCAATGGGCTTTTTATTTTCGCATTGCGATTTTGCTGGAGTGAATTAACATCGTAATGCGAGGCACCACTGTATCTGGGGACCCAAGGTTGGGAATCACTGGTTTAGATCAACAGTACCTTTTCACATGTGGTAGAGATTCCACTTGTAAGAGGTAATGTGGAGGCAAGCTCTTCTGCGGTCCAGGTCCATGATGACAGACATATTGGATGGAAGGAAAGGTCTTTGTTATCTCTTCAGCATGCTACAGAAACACAAGAAATTAAGTGGTGAATTTCAGCCAGGAGGGAAGTTTGCCTTCCTGGCCTGCAGCCAGTGGGGAGTGAAAACCTACCTGTTTACAAGTATGCACTTTAATATTAAGAAGGAAGAAAGGAATAACTGCTGGATAGCTCTTTTTTTATGTATTTGGCTATGGAGCTAGAGGTTGAGAGTTTGATTCTCCACTGTGCCTCCTTGACAGGGGCCAGACCCAATGATCTCTAGGATCTGATGGTTGTTGTGGGTTTTTCGGGTTCTTTGGCCTTGTTCTGAAGGTCCAGAAGTGTTCAGAACACGGCCAAAGAACCCAAAAAAAACCACAACAACCATCAGATCCCGACCGTGAAAGCCTTCGAGAATACATCTATAGGGGCTCTTCCAGTTCCCCAGGTTTAAGATGATGAAACACTACCACCACCTCCAAAATGACACTGAAGGGGAAAAAATTAACTTAGGCAACCAATAGCTACAGAATGAATGGAAAAATAAGCAAAATGTAAGAATGTATAGACGAAAAAGAACTGAGGAAGTTGAAGGTCTTTAATAAGGGAATCACAAAAGCCAGTTGCTTAAGAATATGTATCCGAGATAAAAAGAGGCTTAACATTTTTCTTTAAACAGTCTTCTTCATTTTTTCTGTAAAGAACCTCTATGCGCCTAGCCAGATGAATGGCTATGAAAAAGCCTGACATTCTGCACTGTTTTAGAGAAATACGTGGGCTATGTTGTAGTTTCTTTACAGACAACTTTCTCTATTTTTTTTTAAATCTGTAGATTTCTTCCACAGCACCATCCTTGAAGAAGAGGGAAACAACTCTCAGCTTTGAATCGGAGGAAAATAATGGTAGGGGATGGGAATGCCAAGGTTTTGCACCAGTGGAACAAACAGCGAAGCACGCCTAAAACTGAGATGGAAACAAATGGAAATACATATATAAAAGAATGTGCAAACCAAATGCTGTCTCCTTCATTGTTGGCAGGGAACCTGAAAAATCAAACAAGAGCACTTTATGTGGTGATTTTTTAAAATATGTGGTCCCATTCGTTTTTATTTTTATTATAAAACTTGCCTCAATCTATTACAAAATGGAGGAATTCACGGCAGGTATAGGAAACTGACTTTCACACCGAGTCTGGCCTTCAGTCTCTCTGTCTTACAACAGTTTATTCTCAACTGACTTCACCTCTCCTCAAGGACTCATGCATGTGTTCTGTGCTGTCAGGTCCCAATGGACTCACAGTGACCCTAGCAGGGTTTTCAAGGCCAGATATTTAAGAAGTGGTTTTACCAGTTCCACTCTCCCACTGAGCTTCCATAGCCAAGTGGGGATTTAAATCCTTGCCTCAGAATCCTACTCAGCCACTCTAGGCAGACATTATTTTTCCTGCCTGTTACCTGAGGTCTTCTAGTCTGACCAGGTAAGGCCTAAGCCCATGGTTTTCTGCTTGTAGCACTGGAGGTCCACCAGAGGTATGCACAGATTTCTCAGAAGGCAAGAGAAAAGTTTCCTTCGTTGGGATAAAAAAGCTGAGTGAGTGGAGACAGACAGGCAGGCAGGGCTGGGCATTGTGTCCCTTCTTGCTTTTCCCAACTCATTATTTCTTTATATGTAAGCATGCCGTCTACGTTGGCTTGGGCATGCCGGCTGGTGGTCGGATTCCAAAATATCTCCTGTATGAAGAATTAGTGCAGGGAAATCACCCCAGAGGGAGACCACAGCTGCGATACAAGGAGATCTGCAAGCAGGATCTGAAGGCCTTAGGAATGGACCTCAACAGATGGGAAACCTTGACCTCTGAGCGTTCAACCTGGAGGCAGGCGGTTCATCATGGCCTCTCCCAATTTGAAGAGACCCTTGTCCAGCAGGCTGAGGCAAAGAGGAAGTCACAAAAGCAGCAAAACCAGGGAGCTGGACAGGGGACAGATAGTATTTGTCTTCAGGGTGGAAGGGATTGTCACTCTCGAATTGGCCTTCTCAGCCACACTAGATGCTGTTCCAAGACCTCTATTCAGAGCATGTTACCATAGTCTCTCGAAACTGAAGGATGCCTACTAAAAAATTTTTAACTCCAGTCTTATTTTTGGAAGGAAGTTTGTTGTTGCGGCCCTTTGTTGGGGAGACAGTAAACCACAAAGTCTATTCCGTAATAACAGTCACCATGCCCCTAGGCAATGAGACCAGGTAGGGGTTTTTGAAACAAAGTTTAGCTGTTTCTCTCGCTCGCCTCCCACACTATTTCTGAATAGAGTCCCTGGTGCAATAAGTATTTTTAAAATACCCCAGATATACACTTCCAGAGGAGTTACTAGGCATGTACACAGGGAAAACATGTGGGTTTCATCCCCCCCCCCCAGAAAAAAAAGCCTCATTAATTTTCAAGCCATTTGGGTCAAGGCCTGTTCATTAAACTTGAGAGTATGGTCTCTTCTGTTTTGCTGCTCCTCTTTTGTCTTTCACCCAAATAAAACCCTAAAAAAACTCTCAAAATTATTCCAAAAAGGCAGGGGCAGGGCAACAGACAATCATCTACTGCAGAAATGGGCAGCAACAACACCGTAAGAGAAAGAAAAACTAATTATCATCAGACATATGCAGCCACTAACGGAACTTTAAATTTCATACTTATCATCACATCCTCATCTTCATCCTCATCAGCAGGAAATAGTACAGATGAGAAATCATCATGGTCATCAGATGTAGGTAGGGGGCTACAGCTTTTCATCGTCATTGTTCATCATCATCATCATCATCATCATCAATTATCTGTACCTGGCACCACCCACACCAACAGCAAGTTTTTGGACCACACACACACTTGGGGGTGTTAAGAGAGAAGGCTGGTTGGCCTCACAAATGAGCGAGGCCCTGTTACATGCCTGGATCAAACCAAGGGAACCCCAATGAGGAAATCCAAATGAAATGTTCTAAATGTTCAGGTTTTCTCGCATTAGATAGATTGGACTATTTAGATTTCAGAGGCTCTCTTTTGGAGATGAATGAAAGAATCCCCAAAGGAAAGAAAGAGCTTCTTTTGTGTTGTTACACATTCATTGCAACCTGATAGTCCCATCTAGTAGTTATTCCTATTTAATAGCCATAAATCCAACACAGAACTGTTGCACTCTGCTAACATGAAAACTAAATGTTCTTACATCCTGAAGAGAGGGAGTCTGAAAAGCACTCTACTAAATTAATGAACTGGATTAATTTTCTACTCAATGATTCCCAAACCCTGATGTAATGTACTTGGTTACTTATGGACCACACACACACTTGGGGGTGTTAAGAGAGAAGGCTGGTTGGCCTCACAAATGAGCGAGGCCCTGTTACATGCCTGGATCAAACCAAGGGAACCCCAATGAGGAAATCCAAATGAAATGTTCTAAATGTTCAGGTTTTCTCGCATTAGATAGATTGGACTATTTAGATTTCAGAGGCTCTCTTTTGGAGATGAATGAAAGAATCCCCAAAGGAAAGAAAGAGCTTCTTTTGTGTTGTTACGCATTCATTGCAACCTGAGACTCCCAACTAGTACTTATTCCTATTTAATAGCCATAAATCCAACACAGAACTGTTGCATTCTGCTAACATGAAAACTAAATGTTCTTACATCCTGAAGAGAGGGAGTCTGAAAAGCACTCTACTAAATTAATGAACTGGATTAGTTTTCTACTCAATGATTCCCAAACCCCGATGTAATGTACTCGGTTACTTATTTCATCTACCTGGAAAGCAGACTCTTTTCATAGCCATCTCTTCCTTTCATGCTGACATGCCCATCAAATAAGCAATCAGGATCCTTTGTTATCAAGACTACCTATCCTTTGACGGCAGCTAATTTCATACCAGCTGCCAAAAAGCTGTCAAGCATAACATCACACTCTCTTTCAGGCTCCCGAAAGACGAAACGAGGCTCCCAGATGAATATCCTAAAATAGGAAAGGGACCCAGGCTTTCTCTGGCCAAAGAACCTGTCTTCTTTTGGGACTGCAGACATTTCGGTAGCAACCCTGGGTGCTGCATAATATGAAAGTGGAAGCCAACTCCACCTTCCATTCAAGCAGTGGGGAAGGGATGCAGAATTCAATGGCAAATATATTACTATGTTGTTATGTGCTTTCAAGTCAAAACCAGCTTGTTTAGTTGTTAAGTCATGTCGGACTCTTCGTGACCCCATGGACCAGAACACACCAGGCCCTCCTGTCTTCCACTGCCTCCTGGAGTTGGGTCAAATCCATGTTGGTAGCTTCGATGACACTGGCCATCCATCTTATCCTCTGCCATCCCCTTCTCCTCTTGCTTTCACACTTTCTCAACATTAGGGTTTTTTCCAGGGAGTCTTCTCTTCTCATGAGATGGCCAAAGTATTGGAGCCTCAGCTTCAGGATCTGTCCTGGAAGGACTGGAAGGACAGATCCTGCTGTAAAACCAACTTACAGCAACCCTAATAGGGATTTCGAGGGAACTTATTTCCGGAGTGGTTTTGCTAGTTCTACACCTTCCAGAGAGCTTCCACAGCTGAGCGAGGATTCAGATCCAGGCTTCCTGACTTCTAGTCCACCATTCTACTCACAACACCACAATATGTTTCCAATAGACTTTTTGCTCCCTTTTATTTTAGTTGCCTGGCATTATTATTATTTTTTTGAGTTTTCTGTAGCACCCACAGGATTTCAGGGAGAGAAATCTGGCCCTCCGCCCAACCAACGTTGTTCCCCTCAGTCTACGGACAATGTGAAATGCATCTGATTAAATGGGATCCCACTAGGCTGTCTTCAGACATAGCATTGCCTAAGGTAAAGGAGATGTTGGTGTCCCTCACCATATCATACCCTGGAGCCAGGTGGGTTCAGATTTGAGCCTTTGTTCAAACCTGGCAATTGCACGGCATCCTCCATCACAACTGATGCACAAGAGGTAGATTCAGGAGGAGAAGGAGAAGGTATGTGACAGGCTATCTGTCCTTCAAGGGAGGGGCAAGGCTGGAGTTGTTGCCAGGACTGTCTCCCAAGACTCATTGCCTGTTATGCTTGCTGAACTACGCCTAATGGCAAGGCCTGTTGAAAGAATTATATTGGTTTTGTTGCTACCAGGCCAGGTTTTAAGGGTTTGTTTTCAACACAGAGAACCTTAAACAGCCTTGGACCTTGATAATATGAAGCACATAGGACACTCCCTTATATTAGCTGAACTTCTGTTTGTGCTCTTGTGCCACATCAGCCCAATGATGTCTTCAACCGCATTAGTGACCAACATTCCGATCCCTCCCCCAGAGGTTTTGAAGTTCCCATTGGATCCATTTCATCACAAGGAAGCCATTGGTGGTCGTGGGACAGGTAGAGGAAGTCTTTACTCTCTAGAAATCATCACTGCCAGGATGACTTTACCAGACCCCCCCCCTTTGTTTCAGTTGTGGACCACCTATGGATTTCAGGCTTTGAATGGGAGTTTTTGCAGACCAGCTATCCAGTCCACCACTGTTTCATGGCCCTTTGAAATCATCTGTTCTCCCTAATTATCAGTGGTAGGCAGGGCAAAAGAAAAAGAGGGACCCTCTCTCTTTAATAGTAGCATCTCAGTGAACTGTGCCAACTGCCTCTGGTGAAATCCCCTCTTTCCTAGTGCCCTCTACCCTTTTTCATATGGTCACCCTAATCATACATACATTTTACAAGCGAACATATTATCAGCTCTTGCACCAGGCTGTTGATCTCTTCCACACCACTCAGAACCGGGTGTTTGTTATGGGTAGCTCTTTCCAGGCCTTTGTTCAAGTCATTTGGGAGCATCTGAACTTCTTCTTCTTCTTCTTCTTCTTCTTCTTCTTCTTCTTCTTCTTCTTCTTCTTCTTCTTCTTCTTCTTCTTCTTCTTCTTCTTCTTCTTCTTCTTCTTCTTCTTCTTTTTTTTTTTTGTGGGGAGGAGACACCTCCAGTGGTCTAGGCTT